GTGAAAGTTCAATAGGTGGGAAGTATGAAGCCTCCAGAACTGAAGACTTTCCCGTTAACGTTAAAGTAAAAGAGTCATTCATGTTGGACATCTACTTTTATACTGAAGGTTATAATCGTTTACATATTCTTATATAGATTAAAACTGTTCTTAACGTTAAGTTGCTTACATAAGAATTTAAGACATAAATGACCACATATAAATGTATCAAAATTTTGATATCTCTCATGATTATATTTGATATAGCTACCAACACCTAGATAAACAATGAGATCCAATGGTGGTGAAAGATTTCCAAAACTATCAAAATATTCAGTTTCATTGTTTATCTTTTTATATGCTACCCAATGTGTTCCAGGACCTTCTTTATTATCAAGATTAATTATGGCTGATTCACATTTATAAGGTCCTGTAATAGGTAATTCATTTCTCATGAAAACTCCACGAAATTGAGGTATTTTCATAAGTTTAGCATATTTAAGTAAATCATAGTCGGTTAGTGCGCGGTGAGGTAGCTTCAATATTAGTTTTTTTGAACACTCTTTGTATATTTCAATCCATTTCCTTGATGTGGTTTAATATAAAGACCAAGTCCTTTACGATAGGGTTTCAAATATATACCCTTTCCTATAGCAATGGCCTCCATTGTTTCATTATGTCGATGAGTTTCTGAAAGTTGTTTTTTAGCAGCATTAGCATCATTTACTGCTTTTACAATACCACTGACTCCACCACTAAGTGCTCCTAATGCACTAAGCCCCGCAAAAATTGGTATTAGCGGTAAAATACCACCAACTTTTGAAGGTACAGGAAGAATTCGAGGAGATGAAATTTTACATTTACTACCAAGATTTTTAATTGCATTTTGTGCACCAATCATTGCTGTTTTAATAGTGTCCGTTGCGTTATGATTATTTTTCATATTATTTTTAGCAGCATGAATAATCTTCCCTAATGTCATGCGTTTATTTTTCTTGGAAATTGTATTCCTCTTCTTATTCTTCGACTTCTTCTTCTTCTTCTTCTTCACAATCTTTTTCTTAATATTATTATTAATTTTTAAACCCATCCCAAATTTAGATTTAGCTTTCATTATATTAGTTACAGCTAATGCAGCTGCTTTTTCACTAATTTTAGCGTCCTTGGAAATTACTCGTTCCCACGCCTTTTCCGCTAGTATTTTGTCTGCAGTATTTCTTGCAGCCACGTCTTTATCTTTTGAATAGGCTATATCATGCTCCTTACAAGCCGTATCCAAAGGATTTATACCAGGATCCCCTCGTGCAAGACGTTTTGCCAACTTTGTTCCAGGTCCACAATATTGATAACCAGGAATGTGACACTCGAATGGTAATTTGTTAATTAAAGTATTGAGAAATCCTTGACCACTGCAAGAATTTTTCTTCACTTTATCGTGAGTAATCATTCCTCACTCGACAATGGTCTATAACCAACTGATTGAGGGTGACTATATAAGTGGGGTATTTATAGTTTTTTTCATTAGTCAATTCCAAGATGCAGTTCAAGGTACAAGCTGAACAACTCCCGATTGCAAATGTGGATAACCTCATTGAAACTAAAGATAATGGGGTTAAACGACATGGAAGTTTATTTTCAAATAGTATTCGAGCAGCTTTTTGTGGACCTTCAAATTGTGGAAAAACGAATGCACTTCTTTCTCTGATTATACATCCGAATGGTTTAGGATTTGAAAATATATATTTATATTCAAAATCATTACAGCAGCCGAAATATAAATTTTTGGAACAAGTACTTAGTAAAGTAGATGGCATCGAGTTCTTCCAATTCAGTGAACATGAACAAGTTGTTACACCTAAAGATGCAAAAACTAATTCAATTTTCATTTTTGATGATATCGCTTGTGAGAAGCAGGACAATGTTAAAGCGTTTTTTTGTATGGGGCGACATGTTAACGTCGATAGTTTTTATCTTTGTCAAACATATGCTCATATTCCAAAACATCTTGTTAGAGATAATATTAATTTGCTTGTGCTATTCAGACAAGATGAAAGGAATCTCAAGCATGTTTACAATGATCATGTTAATACAGATATGACGTTTACACAGTTTCGAGATTTATGTTCAGTATGTTGGAACTCTGACAGATATGGATTTGTAGTTATTGACAAAGATAGAAATATAAATGATGGAAGATATAGGAAGGGATTTGATTGCTTTATCCAGTTATAAATATTAAGCATTTCAAGAGAATTGCATTAGTTCAGTTTGAGACTTTCATAAATAAACATGTTTCGAAAGGAGCGAGAGACACTACATCAAATAGCTGCAGCAAGTGATGCTATACGTCGAAAGCATCGTATTCTTAAAAGTGGTAGAGAGTCAGCTGAAAATATATTGAAAGAAACCTTTCAACCATTAGTTACTCCATTGGAAAAATTAGTGAATATAACTAAAAATCCTATAAAGATTGAAAATTTTCAAAACCATGTAAAGAAAGAAGAAGAAGAAGAAGACTTTGAATCATCTTTTAAGACTGCCATTAGTAAAGATACACCTTTCAACAAATCTATTTATAATGATGATGTAACGTTTTATGATCCTATTTATGAAGAAGAAGACATGCAAAATTTATCAAAAGAAAATATAATTGATAGATTGTCAAATCAAGAGAATCATAATGTTATTACTAATGAGCAAAATAATAATATACTTAATGATGACTTTCATGAGCAAGGCATGTATGATATTAAAGATGAAAGTAATGTGGTTAATACTGTGGAAGAAGATTCTGATAAATTGACAAAGAAATTTCTACAAATGTTGGACAAAAATAGAAAACAATATATTGATACAGTTTATGGAGTACGTAAACTTCCCGACGGTACATATATGATTGGTAATACGCAAATTGATTTTGAAGGTTCTTACATTAATCTAGTTGGGAAGAAAAAATATTCTAAAACGGATGGACTATTAGAACTCATATTCCGTCAAAAACCTGATCAGAAGTTAACAAATGCTAATGATTTCGTAACCTATAAAGAAATCCTGCGTAGTACGAATGCATATAGAAAGAACTATAGTCCAAATAAACCTATTCGTAGTAATAAGACTTTCAAATATACTAATGTTATAGCAAAACTTTTGCTCAAATCTGGAGATTCTTATTTGAAGAGAAAAACTCAATTACCGCAATTTATGACGGTGAAGAAGGAATCATATCCAGACTATGTCTATTGGGATGATCCAAACGAGATTGTTGATCGTCTACGCTTACTTATAGCATCACAACAGGCTGGCAATTCAAGTCATAACAATGAAATTATGTCAATAATTGAAGAATTACGTGAAGCTCAAATTATATATTAAGAGTGAACTTGTAAAATTAAGATCATTATTATATTGAATATTGTTCTATCAAGATCATTTTTTGTTACAAATCCTTGAACATGGATGATAAAAAGTTAACAGTTGTGACAGAGTTACATAGGCAAGCTCGGAGAAATTATCCACGTCGAAAAGTAGAAATGCGTGGAATTGATGAAACCTGGCAAGCAGATTTAGTTGAAATGATACCTTATTCAAAAGTTAATAAAGGTTTTAAATATATGCTTACAGTTATAGATATATTTTCCAAGTATGCATGGGCTATTCCTGTAAAAAGTAAAAGTGGAAAAGATGTTTCTGAAGCTATGGAATCTATACTTGTGAATGGACGTGTTCCTAAAAACTTGCATACTGATAAAGGGAAAGAATTTTATAATTCTGTATTTGAAAGTTTAATGAAATCATATAAAATTAAACTGTATTCAACTTATAGTAATTTAAAAGCTTCAATTATTGAAAGATTTAACCGCACATTAAAAAATATGATGTGGCCACAGTTCAACTTACGAGGAAATTACAAATGGGAAGACATTTTACCATCTCTTGTTAAAAAGTATAATAATAATAAACATCGTACTATTGGAATGAAACCTAAAGATGTCAGCAGAGAAGATGAAAAGAGACTGTTGAAACGCATATCCAAACAAAGGAAAATTTTACCTAAGAAAGCAAAATTCAAAGTTGGTGATAAAGTGCGAGTTAGCAAGTATAAGAATGTTTTTGAAAAAGGATACACACCCAACTGGACAACTGAAATATTCACCATCACTCAAGTAAAATCAACAAAGCCGGTAACATACAAGCTAAAGGATTATCAAGATCAACCCATCGAAGGCGGTTTCTACGAAGAAGAAATTTCCAAAGTCAAATATTCAGATGTTTATCTTGTCGAGAAAGTTCTTAAAAATCGTCATAATAAAGTCTATGTAAAATGGCTTGGATTTGATAATTCTCACAATAGTTGGATAAATAAATCAGAAATTTAAAAGTTTCTAAAAGTTAAAGTTAACTATTTGAAAAGTTAACGTTAACTTTTAGAAAAGTTAACGTTAACTATTTGAAAAGTTAAAGTTAACTTTTAGAAAAGTTAACGTTAACTATTTGAAAAGTTAAAGTTAACTTTTGGAAAAGTTATATGTAAAATGCATGTAAATATTTGAAAAGTTAAAGTTAACTATTTGAAAAGTTAACGTTAACTATTTGAAAAGTTAAAGTTAACTTTTAGAAAAGTTAACGTTAACTATTTGAAAAGTTAAAGTTAACTTTTAGAAAAGTTAAACTGACTTTGAAGTAATGTTGAACTAAAATGTAATAATGTCTTGTATTTATATGGAAGTTACTTTTAAATAAAATATGTATAAAAAATGTAAACTTTTTAGTGAATTTCTTTATTTCCTAACTGTTAAACTATATTAAGGTTCTATTAAATAAAAGTAGACAAAGTTTCAATGTATATAGAAAAAATTTTTTATTTATTTAAAAACCAATGTGTATAACAACATCAATAAAATATTTATCAATATAATAAATAACATCAATAAATATTCATAAATATACATAAAATTAGATTTCTCTTTTCTATTTACAATATAATACTTATATTCTATTACAATAAATACTTAAATTCTATTTTATAATTCTATCATTTCTACATCGTTTTCTATGACTTTATCTCTTTCTATAATATAATGACCCCATGCAAGAGTGTCAGTGTTGTGTTTCAATAAAAATCTTTTGTCATCGTAGGGACTTAGGGCTATTTTTTTCTGTTTTAAAGTAAGGACCTTGTGGAGTTTGGAGCGAATGGAATATTGAGTTCGAGATTGGATTTTAATATTTTTTAAACAATAAATGTAATCATTAAAAGTTATATGATTCTTAACTACATTAGACTTTACACCTTTTGCCTTTTTTAAGAAATCTTGATTATCCACACGTAAACTATACATTTTACTACGCAAACCAACAAATTCAGTGACAATCCTGCCATTGCATTCGTCTTTCATAAGACCTAACACTTTTTTGTTGGCTTGCGGAATGCCATATACATTATTCATGGGATAATCCGAAGTATCAAATTTGAAAATGTCTGCTCTCATATCAGAATAGACATCCTCACATTTGATATTATAAATAAGGCTGTCAGTGTCAGTATAAAGCAGTTTACAATTCATTCCATACTTTTTCCTCATGTAATCATAGTGAAAATCATACATCAGAGTTTTTGAGATGTCTAACACGCTAAGACCTATATAAATCGGCTTATTCATGTACACCTCAGTCTTCTTAAGTTCCACAGCTATCAAATTTTCGTTAAAGATAGCTCGCGTGTGGAAGTTAGGTTTAGCAATTAAAGCTTCTGCCCCATACCTACCCTCCCACTTTGTCACGAGTTTCACGTTTACGTGATTACGTACATTCTCCATTGTCTTACCATACACCGCATTGTTCATTAATTTAAACAAGTTTTTCTCGAATTCATTACTAGCCTTTGTTCGTTGACTAGTATTGAAATCGACATAATCTTTAAGCCAAGTTGACTGTTTAAATTGTAAAATGCGGTGGATGTGAACCAACTTAAGCCCATTGGCTAATGCTTGTTTAAGTGCACGATAATGGAGAATGTATTTTCGTTTCGGTTGGAGAGTAGTTAGAAGCTTTTCTTGCTTTGACCCTGGTGGTTTCAAGTGTTCAGGACAAAATGGGAAATCATTATGCATATTATGTAGTTCTGTAGGATAATCTAAATCAACTTCCAAAATATAACCTATAGTTGCATCATCTACAACGTTAAAATTAAAGTTATTGTCAAATTCTAAAACCCACTTGAAATCACCATAGGGAAGAGACTGTACCATGGCCCAACCATATAGATTATTAGCGTCTAAATATACAATGTAAGAAGTCTCCTCATTGACATTGTGCTCTTTCATATATTGATTATTTGCTTTGGCATAACGATTTGTACATTGACTTATACCCCCTCTTATACCACGTTCAATAAACATTATCATATCAATGTCAGTGAGCAGTTCTAGTTTTACATTTGTATATTTTAACATAGCATCCCAAGTAAAACCCGGTGTCGTGTAATAGTGTGCAGGATCTAACCCGTATGCTTTTAAGCATTGTTCACGGAAATTTTCAAATACATCAGCAAGCAGCAAGATGTCAGTTTTCATATATAAATAAACATAATCACAAAGATTTTTACAATTAAATTCTGACCATACTTGCTGAGCATGTAAATATTCTTGATCTGATATATTTGAATCATTCAATGTACTATAAAAACATTCTTTTTGGGGTAACTGAGTTTCTTCGAGTTTTTCCTTAGAGTCGAGATACTCGTAAGGAAAAACTCCTTTTCGGGTTAACAAATTAACTTTATTATCGCTATAGTTTGAAAAGTTTGATTTGACAATTTTGTATTCGTTTAAATATGATGCTAATTTGTCTAAAGATGATGCCATAAATCTAAATGAATCAATGAATCTAAATTTAATGAGACTTGCTTCAACATGTTTGGTAAAACTAATATATTTTTCCTTGTTAATGGGAAGAACGTCAATTTTACCTTCAAACTCATTCGCGATTGCTTTAATAATAAAATGTGCATCATAACCACTTAAATTATGGAAGACTACAGGAACTATTCTAGAATCTTGATAATTGACATTACAATCTTGATGGGCTGCACCTCGATACACCCCAGTCAGATGGCAATGATCTCTAACTTTTACTTCTCCATGCTTGATAGTTTTCATACAAATATGGCAAATATTAGCTACTTTAAATGCAGCTTTTTGATCTGCATTTAGAGTATCCATTGGAATATTTACCATAAATGTAGGTTCAATTTCTTCCGCCAACTTTTTCAACTCTTTTGCAAACCATCTTGCCGGATCTTCTTCATTCTTGGGTGATGCCCTGTATTCATTTAAAGAGTCATCATAACTCTTTAAATAAAATCCGATGCTGAGAAGTTGATGCTGTTGAACTACTTCTGTCTGACATCCCATAGATGAAGAATTCTCCCCTGGAACTAGTAGACTCTCGCAATCTGCATAAATGATGAATGGTACTTTTTCTTTATTACTAAAATTCTTGAATTGAATACTACTAGATCCTGGTTTCGGTAAGATGATTTTGGTGTTATTCATTTTTTGACAATCCTCAACGTGCTCGGTAAGTTTATCGTTGCTCCTGAAGTAGTGAAGACAACGATCGCAAATAAATAACTTGTGCTCATTTGTGGATACTTGGTTATTTATAAGACGTGATAGAGATTTTATCCAAACATAGTGGAATTTGTTGGAAATTGCGGAATCTTCTTTATCATCATCCTCATCAATGTAGTGATCATCAACGCGTAGAAGATTAACATGTTTGGATTGTTTCTGTGAGGTTAGGTGTATTGGCGAGACTGTGAATTCCCCCTTTCGTTTAACAAGACAATAAACGTTTACTGAAATATTGTTAAGCACTTCAAATCTTGCAACGTCATTGAGTGCTACGGGGAATTTAATATTAGTGAAATTTAAATGATGTTGAATATATGCATAGTTTTGCAAACGAGATGGGTTTGAAGAAGCTTCATACAATGCCGATAATATTGCCCACTTGAAGCATTCATTATCCTTTTCATTTCTAACATTGACACAGGCACGTTTAGCTTTAATAGATGGCGGTAGATCAATGAAAGAACCAACACGCAAAGGATTGTATTTGTTAATATTGACATCTAATCTATGGATTGAATAGAGTTGCCAATTTGATTCTTTATCTTGAAAATCTTCAATTTCTTTAAGTGTTTTCTGCTTTACATAATCATTATACCAATCGCGTAACTCAGTTGAAGGGAAAATTGACTCTGTCTTATTAATGAAATATTTTATATCGAATTCTGTAGTACCGTCAGGTAAAACCTTTTTATATTTTGCATTGAATACTGTATATACTTTCAACGGACCGAACGTGTCTAAGCAAGTTTTAATGTGATTTTCAAAAGGAACAAAGGCATCATCTAAAAATTCATTAACATCTAAGTGACTTAAATTAATGACTGTACCGGTTTGTAATCGATTATTAAAAGCCGAATCAGTTAGAGCCCATTTAATTTTTTCATTTGATTGATTAAGTCCTGCACCGCGCTTCATCAGCGAATCAAAGTGGCATTTCAAGTAATTTATATGATGTAATAACGTTAAGATCCTATGTTTTTGAGGAACTGAGAAGCTATATTTTCTAAAAAATTTAATTAAAATTGCATAATTTTGTATAGACTTGTGATGCCATTGAATCGTGATGAGTCGATCGTCATCGGATTTTCTAGAGCATAACTCTATATTGGCAGCATCAATGAAATTGTCTAAGGCTTCACAAATCTCATTGAAACTGTCAATAGAGGTGTATGGTTTAGATGTTTCGATATTTCTACGATTAGCCATTATTTTAAAATTCTGAAAAAGATTGTATGAGGAAAAAGCTGAAAAATCTGAAAAAAAACGCTGAAAATAACCTAAAAAAAAAATCTGAAAAACCTATGAAGAGAATTTGGAATAAGTTGGAAAGGAAGTAGTGGAAGTGAAGGGAGTGGGGTGGGGTATAGTCCTCGATGACGACTGCTTTTTAAAGATGTCTACCGAATACGATGTTTCGAAGCTTCACTTTGCTCATTTAAGTATAACTGAAACAGAAATAAAATTACAATCAATTTGATGCATATTAAGATAAATTTTTGCGAAAGACATGTAAATTGAGTAAACTTACAATGCTGCTACACAATTTGGCAATGCAAATGAATGTTTGTCTCTTGTAGGAAGATTAACTTGCTAATTTTTTGAATCTATAACAGAAAAAAAGGATTATGATTAATTTGATATAATTTATACATAAGAAAATATAAATAAGATTAACTTACACTGATGCTCTTGGTAATGCTTCTTCAACAAAGTTTTGTACTGGAATGAGACCTCTGAAGAGGATTGCTGTAGATATATGACTAGTGCCAGAGGTCTGATGCTGCTGATTCTGGAGGCTAGAACAGAATGACTTTCCTTGCCACGGGAATCGCCTGAGGTACATGTACTCCCCACCATATACAACATCCCACCACTGAACTCCATCCCCACTTGACGCATGGACTACCAACGGGCCCCGGTGACCGTACGCGCACATCTGCCGCGCACCTTTCACTTTTGAGCTATGCACTGTGCGCCACCCACTCCCAACCACCCACAGTCCCGCGCGGTATCTCGCGAACCCTTTGTTCCTCGAGGTTCTAATTATGATTTTTAAATTTTTGGAACCGTATATGTTTATACTGAAAAGGGTTATGCAAATTAGGGTGGATGGGCGACCAAAAGGGTAAAAGTTTAAACATACATATAAAAATTAGGGGGGTAGATGGCCAAGAGGGTTGAAAGAAGGTGAGGTAAGGGGTGGTGGGTGGTAATCAAAAGGGTTAAAATTCAAAAGGTGGGTGGCCAACAGGGTTGAAAGTGGGTGGTAAGGGGTGGTGGGGGGGGGGTGATCAAACGGGTTAAAATTCAAAAGGTGGGTGACCAAAAGGGTTGAAAGTGGGTGGTGATCAAAAGGGTTAATATGCAAATTAGGGGGTGGTGGGTGGTGAATAAAAGGGTTAACATGCAAATTAGGGGGTGGTGGGTGGTGAATGAAAGGGTTAATATGCAAATTAGGGGGTGGTGGGGGGCCAAGAGGGCTGAAAAAAGGGTTCAAGGTCAAACTGTTTTAGAACCGGCACAGCCCTACTACTAGCAAGCGATTTCTAATTTTTTTCAAATATATATATGGGGCATTTCACGTCAACGAGAGACCCCCCGCCCCCAGAATAGATTTATATGAAAAAAGTTCAAATACGGCTTAAAATTTAGGTAATTACATCTACTTTAAAATGCAAAGTGGCAAAATAAAAAATTCAAGATGGCAGATCCAATATGGTGAAAGAAGTAAAAAAAAATGCTCGAATTCACTTGAAATTTGTTACTCGGGGGTTTTTAAGGTCGCTGAACACAAATATGAAATCAGATTTTTAATATTAAAAATGGCGGATCCAATATGGTGGCCGATTATTAAAAATTTTAACAAATTTAAATAAAAATTGGATTACGAGAGTTCGTAGGGTTGTAAGAAGTTTTAAAGGTTTTTAATTGAGATAGAAATTTAGGTAATTAGACATACTTTCAAAAAAAAAATGGCCAAACACAGATTTCGTAATGGTGAACCTAATATGACAGAAGAAGTAAAAAAAAAAGCTTGAATTCAATTGAAATTTGTCCCTCGGGAGTAAGATAAGTAGGTTACAGCCAATAAATGCAGGACTAGTAATGAATTTTAGGTACCAACTAGTAAAAGTAAGAAACATTATAAATCCAACTAGTAAAAGTAAGACACATAGCTTCCAAGCAATTGAGGCAAGGCCAATGTAGGTACCAAGTAGTAAAAGTAAGAAAGGGTAATAATCCAACTAGTAAAAGTAAGACATAGGTTCCAACTAGTAAAAGTAAGAAAGGGTAATAATCCAACTAGTAACAGTAAGAACGGTTATAAATCCAACTAGTAAAAGTAAGAAACAATAAAAATCCAACTAGTAAAAGTAAGACATAGGTTCCAACTAGTAAAAGTAAGAAATGGTAATAATCCAACTAGTAAAAGTAAGAAACAATAAAAATCCAACTAGCAAAAGTAAGACACATAGGTTCCGACCAATTAAGGCAAGGCTAATTTAGATACCAAGTAATAAAAGTAAGAAAGGGTAATAATCCAACTAGTAAAAGTAAGACATAGGTTCCAACTAGTAAAAGTAAAAAAGGGTAAAACCAACTGATGAAAGTGAGACATATAGAGTCCAACCAATTAAGGCAAGACCAATTTAGGTTCCAACTAGTAAAAGTAAGAAAGGATAAAAATCCAACTAGTGAAAGTAAGACATATAGAGTCCAACCAATTAAGGCAAGATCAATTTAGGTTCCAACTAGTTAAAGTAAGAAAGTTTAAAAATCCAACTAGTAAAAGTAAGACCTACTTATCTTAGTCCCGAGGGACAAATTTCAATTGAATTTAAGCTTTTTTTGTTACTTCTTCTGTCATATTAGGTTCACCATTATGAAATCTGTGTTTGGACATTTTTTATTTAAAAGTATGTCTAATTACCTAAATTTCTATCTCAATTAAAAACCTTTAAAACTTCTTACAACCCTACGAACTCTCGTAATCCAATTTTTATTTAAATTTGTTTCGATTTTTAAAAATCGGTCGCCATATTGGATCCGCCATTTTGAATATTTAAAATCTGATGTCCGATTAGTGTCCAGCGACCCTAAAAACCCCTGAGTGACAAATTTCAATTGAATTATAGCTTTTTTGTTACTTCTTTCACCATATTGGAACCGCCATCTTGAATTTTTTATTTTGACACTTAGCATTTTAAAGTAGGCGTAATTACCTAAATTTCTAATTCAATTTGAAACCTTAAGAACTTTTTCCAACCTTACAAAGCACCATAAGATACGACATGGCCTAAGTTTTCAACATATGTTGCTTTTCTTATAACTAAATGTAAGGAAACTAGCTTACTGTAAAATAATAAATACAAATTTGAAGTAGGGACTTTAAAAGTATAGTCGTAGTCATTGACGCCTTCCCTTTTCTGTCCTTGTCTTACAAACGTGATTCCATATATATTATATGTACGTTAGAAAAGGACAAAAAGAAAAGTATAGGCCAGAAGGATCTTTTATGGTTTTGTGGCTTTTCATTGCAAAATTAAAAATTGTTGCATTTGAAAAAAATAATTTTTAAATATTATATTTGTAATGTACATGTTAATACAATGACAACGATATAAAATTTTTTGCAAATATTTTTAAATTATTGAAAATTAACTTTAATTAATGGAGTAGATTGTTTTATAATCATTATGTAATTTTAAAGTTTCTGCATAAAGTTTTATATGATTGCAATTGTTAAAATCTATAAATTACAAATATAACATTTAAAAAAATATTTATTTAAATTTAAATAATTTTTTATTTTGCATTAAAAAGTCATACCCAAATAGCACGGAAACTTGCAGCAAGTTTGCTGCAAGTTTGCAGTGCAAGGTTTGAAAGTTTGTAAGGTAAGTTTGCAGCAAACTTGTGGCAAATATTGAAATGTCCTCCCTTGGCAAGTTTGCAGCAAAAGCTTTCTGTAAACATCCTAAGCAAAATTGTCGAAAAGTTTCAAGAACAATTTGTAGCAAAATTCTATTGTTCAAAATTTTATAACTATTTTGTATTTAATTAAAAAATTTATAAATATTTTTACTTATCTTATCTCGAATTTTAATGTTTTTAAGCCACTAATATCGGGGCTAATAAATTGTTCTCAATTTTAAAAATGTTCCATAACAAATATTTTCAAATGTATAAAGTCACTGAGAATAAATTTAAAAAATTTTCTTTCAAACAATTGTTTCGTTATTTTTCCTTTTCTATTCTGTGATTTAATTATTTAAATTCAAAAGAAATTGACAAAATAATTTTCCATAAAACTATTAAATATTTATTTTACTAAAACTTCCATTTTAAAATTTCTAAAAATTATCAGCGCAATTTTGCCACAAATTGTTCTTGAAACTTTTCGACAATTTTGCTTAGCATGTTTGCAGAAAGTTTTTGATGCAAACTTGCCAAGGGAGGACATTTCAATATTTGCCACAAGTTTGCTGCAAACTTACCTTAAAAACTTTCAAACCTTGCACTGCAAACTTGCTGCAAGTTTCCGTGCTATTGGGGTAAAACCTGATGGACCCTTGAAAGGACCCTTCTATTGGAAAAAGGGAATATATAAAAAAATGTAAATTGTAGTAGGTAAAAAAAATAAGCGGTTTGAAAAAAATAAAAAAAATGTCCTGAGGATTTCAAATACATATTTAAAAATTTTTCATAGAAATTAAATATTTAATTTTTTAATTTTTAACTATTTATAGAATTTTTTTGGATGACTAGAATCCTGAAAAATTGAATCTTCCAAAGATCTCATTTTCATATATCAATAATACCAAAAATATGGAAAATTTTTTTTTTTCAAATTTAATGGCTTTCTTAACATAATAGAGTTATATGGTGGGTTTGAGTGGCCATGGTACCTCTCTTGGAACCCTTTTTACAAAAAAATAAAACGTAGTGAGAAATAGTCACTTTTTAGAAAACGTCAGGCCCATAAAAACTATTTGAGTCAGAATTAGTCAGCAGCATCACAAAACATCAAAATAGTCTCAAAACGTCAGGATTTCTGACGTTTTGAGACTGATTTCTGATTTTATTTTTAGCAGGGTTATTATTAATTTTCGTTATTTTATGTAATAACATAACCTAATTTTTAATTATAATGAAAAATTGTTTAAAATTTATTTATTATATATTCTTTAATTCCAATATAATTT